CAAAGTAGCTGTTGAGTAGCTCTGCCTTCTTTGCATCTTCAGTTAGCAGTTCCCCCTGGTTTGTTAACAAAGGACCTAGAGCTTCCCTGGTCCTTTTTTTCTGGACAACATACTTATAGAACCTCTTCTTGTTGTCCTTCACCTCCTTTGCCAGGTGCATCTCATTCTTTATCTTTGCCTTCCTGATTTTGTCTCTGCAGGTTTTTGCTATTTCCTGGTATGGGTTCTCAGTGACCTACCCATTCTTCCATTGCCTGCATGCTTTCCTTTTGCATTTGAGGCATTTTAGAAGCCCCTTATGCAGCTATGTTGGTCTCTTGCTATTCTTCCCATCATGTCGGGACAGTTTCTTGTTGAGCTTCCAATATTGTGCCCCTTTGAAGCTCCCAGCCCTCCTGGGTGCCTTTATCCCTCAATCTATCTTCCCATGACACTATGTCTGTTAGATGCTTGTGTCAGATGAAATCTGTCTTTTTGAAATCTAGTGTCCTAATTTTTCTGACCTTATGCTTTCCATGTCTCAGGATCTGGAATTCTCTCATACTGTGATCCCTTCCTCCCAAGCTATCCACATCTTCACATCCTCCACCAGTTCTTCCCTGCTGGTCAGGACACGATCAAAGATAGATGATCCCCTAGTTGTATCCTCCACTTATGGGAAGAGAACGTTGCCCTCCACACAAGTTAGGAACCAGCTTGACAGTTTATCTTTGGCTACCTTATTCTTCCAGCAGATGTCTGAAAAATTTAAATGTCCCATCAGTACCATCCCATAGCTTTTGGACTGATTTTTCACCTGCTTGAAGAGTGCTTCATACTTCCTGAGTAGGTGGCCTATAATAATTCCCCACCATTATTTCAGTGCTGTGTCTTTAACCTTTCATCTTTACTCAAATGCATTCTGCTTTGCCTTCCTCTTCCTCCTGAACCAGGGGACAAGAGTATGTTTTTGACATACAAGGCAATACCACCACCTTTTCTCCCAGTCTTGTCCTTCTGAAACAGAGTGTAACCCTCAGTGTTCACATTCCAGTCATAAGGGCTGTCTGATCTGTCTGTTTGATCTATCTGATCAAATTCAAAATGTATATAAAATAAAGATTATTTTCACCTATGCACCAAATCAAGCTACCCAAGTGAGGAACATCATGAAAAATAGAATACTCAAGGAAGGAGAGATCCCGTTCAAAATTTTTAAAGGGATCTGAGTGCCAAATTGGAAAACCAATGGAGAAGAAGAATGTAGAAGACTAAGTTGGGGTTTTGATTGCATACAAAATCTTTTCACCTTTTACCTGAAGAAAAGCTTCTGGAACTGCGTGAGCTTTGAAATTACACAAAACAGAACAGTAAAAGAAAAGAATCAATCTTTTGCAGGAAGTTAAAAATAAAAAAGTATAGTAAAGCAGATTAGTTAAATATATATTTACCCCTTTTTGTTTTGCAATAGCGTAGATGGCATTCTTGATGGTGTCAGTAGGGATAACATCCTTATTGTTGTCATGAAAGTACTCCTTGACTTCATTCAGTCTAATATGGGCACAGACCTCCACTTCTTTAATGCAGTGTCTCTTGCCTTCTCTTCTAACGTAAAGGAATTTAACGAAATTCTTTCCATACTCAGAATTGAGGACTTCCACCTCTACAGGCTGCAATGGAAACACATTTTTATTACTCATTAGATAAAGTACAGGTATAAAAGAACCCAACAAAAGTCTCAGTCAGGCTCAGATTGGTCAAATATCTGTTTATCATCCTGAGCAAATATTTAGTTTGACAAAACAGACAAATAATCTGCCAATATGGACAGGAAACCTGAGTCTCCACTACATTACATCCGCTTTGTATGGATGTAACACCACTGAAATTAGTGGACTCTGTCACACTGGTAGAAATCAAACAAGAATTACACACTGCTGAATCAGGCCCCTTATAAAGTTTGTTGTTTGTATTGTGGTAATGTCAAAGCACCTCAGTTATATAATAGAAGCATACACTGTGCAGATGCAGTAAAAAGACCACAAGAACTTACAATCAAAGTATAAGACAAGAGGCAATGGGTAGCTAGAACACACAGGTGGCAAATGCAGGGAAACAGGCTGGTCATCTGGAATGTAAATCAGGCTGTGTAAATGCTCTTACCTGCAGTAAATGAAAATGACCTCACGGTAATGTGTTCACAAGCCCATGCCCTGAGTGACTTCATAGAATTGGATGCAGCAGTTCTGAATTTGTACTACTCTAGCTAGGATCAGGCTGTCCTCAGTCTTTATGGCACGCGTGCCACATCATGAACTCAGCTCCTCATTAACATTCCCTTTCTTGTCACAGGTTGAATGAACTGGCTGTGCAAAAAGAAGTGAAAATCCTCTTAATCCTCCCCAGATTTTTAAGGGAAAAGTAGTGGTCTTGCCTCATTTCAAATCTATTGTTAACTCCATAGTGCAAGAGAATGGGAGCTGTTTTGTGACAAAGTCATGGAGACAGTAGTTGCTATGTAAGAATTTTAAAATGATTATATATCCTGCAGTTATTGCAAGAAACTATAACTTATATTGGGATATCTGAAGGTTTATTATACATTTGTCATGTTTGAGTTCAGGGGGAACTGCACAGGGAAGAGACACTAGTTTGGCAGATGAGAGCATCCAAACAACAGTTGGGATGCAATTAGAGTACCATTGTGCTTCAGACCAAAGTGACCCAGAGTCTCTTACAATATTCAAAAGAATAGTACAGATTTCTTCTGAGGGGAAGAAGAACGTTTTTTTCTCAACAAATATTCTGCCTGAGAGGACAGATTTCAAAGACTGGCTCAAGGAGCCTGAAGGGATTGGTCTTTCTTTTTCCTCTGTCTAGGAACAGGTGCGCCCTACAGAAGAACTCAAAAGGAACGTAGTACATTTTACTGTTTATAAGACAGATTTTCTCCAAATCATTAATACTTTGAGTATTGAATCAATAACACTTTGCTTTACAGAAGTTTTGTTTTTTTGTCAGGGATTAGCAGTGTCATTGCCTAAGTAGAACTGAACTGCAGAACTTGGACTTAAATCTGATTGTGTTTGGTACAGAGTAGACTGTAACCCAGCCCCTGATGTGAGAGAAGAAGCATTATGCAAGTCCACCCAGAGTCAAGTGACAGGGGGTAGCCTGAGACCTGGGAGAGGAGGTGTGTGACAAGACGAGGAGAGGCAGTGCTGTATGTCCAGCATTTGTGCCACCTGGAATGCATTCACTATTTCTACAAAAGTTCACGCTCATTTAGATCATTTTATCTGGTAGACAGTTTTTCCCATTTACTTTCTAAAGTAATGTGTATGATTTTTAGTAAATACTGTGGCTTGTGAGACAGCTAAAAGATGAATGCATTGTTACTTTGTTAGTACTATTATTTTAAAGTGTGCACAGTGAGCTGAAGACTTTGCAGAGTAGGTATGATGGGCAGGTGCCTAGACCAATGACTCAACAATGGGAGAGCTTATCTCTGTGGAGAAGACATTGTGCATAAAGCCTGAGCTTAGATTTACAGCACTGTATAGTAGTTCCCTGTATGGATATCCTTAGGGCAAGCCAACACCATTCAGTGCACTGCCCAGGACAGCCATGCTGAAACATGCTCTGCCTATTCATTCCTCTTCTGTGCAGGCCAAAATCTGGAAGTGAAACAAGGTAGTCACGCACACAGTGCTGCTCTCAGGCGCTCTGCCACAGGAGTGATTATTGGTGCATTCCCAGGGCACTCAGAAGCAATTACACCTAATATTCTGTATGTAAAGCCAGGAGTGAGTGGCTGGGTCACTCCTGGTCGTGGGTAGCCAGGTCATGGGTCACTCTGAGATCAAGGTGCTGACTGGGGACAGGAAGAGGAAGCAGAATCCAGGGACAAGTCAAGTTCAGACAAAGAGTGGGGTCAGCGAGCAAGCCAGGTTGAGAAGCCAGGACATCAAGCAGAGAGAGGAATTGGAGCACAAGCTGGAAGGAGAGAACAGCAAAGCAGTCTGGGATCAGGTTGAGCCCTGCTGCCCAGACATTTTTGTTCCTGCTCAGGAGCTTATATGGGAGAATTAAAGGGTCATCTGTCCCCAGCTGGCCACTCTGGTGAGGGTTTATTTGCAGCACAGCTGCCACTCCAGGCAAAGGGTTAATATGTGGCACAGCTGCCAAAAAGCTTGGCCCCAACTGGACTAGTCCAAGACACGCAGCGTGCATGAGAAGACCCGATACTTGCTGCAGCAGGGAGTCCGCAGGTGCTGCATCACACTTTAAATATATTGTAGACCTAATCTTTATAGCTGCTTAGTACCCTCCCACCACCACCACCAAGGAGCTCATGCAATTCAGCATCTGGCAGGATCAGACAATTATTTGATATGAAACTAACATTGCCACTTTTCATTCAGTCTCCTGTAAGGAAGCCATTTCTTCTACTTAGCTAGGAACGGCAACTGCTTGTCATTCAGACAACCTGGCCAGCCATGGGACACTCCCTCCCTCAGGTCTTAGGTACCCAGAGCCCCGGACAAGGCAGCCTGATGGACCATGTATCCCCTCGTTCCAAGAATGAGCTGAAGAAACAGTGAGAATCTTTCCATTTTAACTAAAGCTTAAAGAATTTCCATTTTAAAATTGTTGTCTCTTTCCATTCGTTCTTTTTCATTATTTCACCGCCCATTTTTTAACCTACTTTCAACATCAAATACATCCTGAAAATACTACTTTGCCTACAAGTGCATAACTACATTGTCCTGAAGCATAGCTCACCCACTCACTCCTGCTCTCTGCACGCTAACTCCTGAAAATGAGGCAATGTAAGCAGCTCAGAGACTCCCTGAGGACATGCCAAGTGCCATACACGGGCTGGGGCATGCTTACTGGCACGCATTCAACTCTACACTGCATTTCCGTGGTTTGAAGCAAGTGGGCAGGGGAACTTCTCAGCAGTGCTCCCAGGAAGGTGGTATGAATGCATTAAGTGCCTTCCTGCAGGTCACTGGGGACAAAGAAAGTTATAGGTTCCTCAGGAGCTGCCCATCTCCCACAGCTATTTACCCCCAGGGGAGAAGAGGTAGTCGTTATGCCACCACCCTCCTCAGTCTCCCTTGCTTACCTTTAGCATTCTTCCACCCATTTTCCCCTTCCTTCCTTCCCTCCCCTCCCTTCTCTACCAATTGTTTTCCTAATTTCCACCTGTTTACATTCTCACTGACCTCCTGTTACACTTTTAGCTTCTTTCATTCCTTGAAAATCTCAGAACAGCGGAGTCTGCCTATACCTGAAGAAGGGCGCTTGTGCCCGAAAGCTTGCAAGGGTATAGATTATAGACATGTTGGTCTAAGGACATAGGGAGACAAGGTTCTTTGGGTAAATCTGGTATCTTTTATTCCAAAGAACTTCGTTCCAATTACTCGGTTGGTCTATAAAAGATATCACATCTACCCAAAGAACCTTGACCACCCTCCTCAGGAATTTTACCAGGATTTAATAGTTTTAAGCTGGGGCTGGGGCTGGGCCTTCTCAAGCACAATCCCTCTTTAATTTTTCCTAGAGTTGGAGAAAGAGTTACATTTTCTCCTACTCTGGTAAGACCTTGGTGATGCAGCTAAAGCCGTAAGGCCTCAGGCCTGAAAACTGATGATCATCATCTTCAAGTTCCCACTCAGACTTCCGGGATGAGTTCAGCATCATGCAAGATGGAGGCCCAGGCTAGAAGGCAAAGTTCAAAGAGATGCGGTATATTGGTTGAAGATGCAAAGTTTGGCGCAGTGCTGTACATGTTCTGTGGAGGGCAGGGAGGGATGAGTTACCACTGAAAGCCTTGATGAAGGACATGGGGCATTTCAGAGAAGGGAGGGAGAGACTGTTTCACAAACAACAAGGAGGCAAGTTCCAAGCATTAAACTGAACAGCTGCAAACATTTAAGGCTTTTCTGCTCTATTATGCCACTGATAGATAGCATACTGCCAAAGAAGGATAAATAGCTCAGAAGCAAAATTTGTCAAAAGTATGCCAACTATTTTTTTAACAGCAAATGTCTTAATAAACAAGAGAGAATTGCAAAATGAGAGACCGGTGTCAAAAACAAATTGAAATGTCAACAAAACTGAAAAAACTGTTCACTTTCACCGGAATTTATTTCTTTACAGGAAAAATTTTGCAGGTGTCTCAATAATAAGTTCAGGCCTCTTAGATTATGCTATTCAGTCACGGGTGTAACCAAGGATGATTCTGAACAGCAAAATTCAGCTCCTGATCCAAACTTCTTCTGTGTTTGTATTCATGAATTTGGTGATGATAGTGACTAGGCATGATAATACATTCCTTCTTTCATAATGCCCCTTTTCTAATAATATTGTTAGTAAAGGAAGATGAACATGCAGGCTACAAGGCAATTTTTGTTCTAATAAATCATCCAGGACTTGCTTTAAAAATAATCTATGGGGGGGAGCAGAAATTTCCCATGTTAGGACTCCACCCAATGGTGATTCTTTTAAAAAAAATGAAGACTTTCTGAAGTGTGGGTGGAAGGGAAAGATTCTTTTTCTCCTGATTTTTAAAAAATGCAGCATTTTTAAGCATAGGTAGCTAAAAATATATATATATAAATGTAAAACTTCATCTGTGTCTAATGCTGGATGGGTTTGAAAAAAGAAGCTTCTTAAATTAAGTAGTTGTAAATTAATTAAAGTGAAACAGGGAGCCTGAGTGTTTCTTTGATTTGCGTGCAGAGGTCGAATCTACAAACAGTAAGAGAACAGCCTAATTGACTTTGGGAGCTGAGAACATTGGGCCCATCCCAGGATCCTCTGCATTGTACAGGATTAGACCCAATGTCTGCTGAAAGTGCTCTGTGCACTGGAAGTGGTGGGGAAATGTTTCATTTTGTTGTGAAAAAAGAAGTTTGGTTTTGTCTGGTTTTTCATTTTTTCTCCCTGGTCCAAAACAGACAAAAAAAAAAACGTGTCAGTACTGGGGGCTTTCATTAGAACCAGAAATTTTTGGTGAATCTGAAATTTTTGCTCAAAAATTCATTTATTCTTTTAGTTATATATATACACCTAAAAAAATCACTAAAAATGTTGGGCAGCTCCATTTAGCACTCCGAACTCCTCTGAGTCATCAGCTGTTTAGGACATTCAGCACCTTATAGATCACATTTTGTTTGTAAGAAGACTACTTCTCACTGCTTTCATTCTTTATAATTTTTTTTCATATTGGGTAGCTTTATTATCATACCAGAACTTTGCCTGCATTGACTTGCTCTTTGTTGGCACAGGTAGTATTTGTTATGTTCTCGCGAGAACTGAAAGTTAAGGAAACCGAAGCAAGAGAACTAGAGAACTTCTCCTTTTAGAATCAAGTGTTTACTTGTTCTGGGCATCTGACAGCTTAAAATGTCTGCAGGATATGTATGGGGTTGCTTTGCTTTGTTATTATGTAGTATCAACAAGTTTCGGTGGGCAGCTGAAATTTCCTGCCGAAGTGAAGAAGGTGAACCAGTTGATTGGTAAGTAACAAAAAATATATATTGGAAAACTTCTGTAATGTAAAAGTGAAAATGCTTTAAATTATATTGCATTAAAGAGCTAGATCACAGAACCATAATCTGTAATAATCAGCATTTTTAATCTTTTCTAATTTTGAGGTAGTTTTTAAACCATACGTTTGGAAAGTAAAACATGGGTTTTTGAAATCTGATTTGGTTTCAAGGTAATTAACCATGTTGCTGCATTACAACTAAGTGCAAAATTAGCATGGATTTACAAAGCATTAATTATGATCAAAGTAAGCACGCTATCTGTGTTCTAATGCCAAGCCTCCAGGACATAGGTGAATGTATAGAAATACTGTCAGCATCCAGGTTATTGGTGAATTGTAGTGGAAGTGGCTTTTTACTTGTAAGATACTGGCTTGGATGTGGGCAAAACTGGGAGTTATTGTTACTAGCATGGTCTTAACTCACTTGTCTGCATCAGAATAAAACCTGAGTATAAATTGCCCCCTTCTCTAGCAGTCTTTGTAGTCAAGAACTGATTGACTGGATCAGCGGTGGGGCATATTGGCAAGTAATGCGGAGAAGCTTACAGCGTGGGAAAGTGCGCTACTTAGTCTGGCACTAAAGAGCCGATGTTATCTACCAGCGCTGCAAGCCAATTGGAACAGCCAGTCTCCAGACCTGCTGGTCATACCCCTAGCAGCATTTGTGTTTTATGAAGAACAAATAAGGAGCAGAAGCAGAACTTCCTCTTGCACACAATGTATTATTACACAGTGGATTGTAATACATTGGAGTTAAAGTTGTCCTTATAATTAATCCTTTCCCTTTGCAGTATTTCATGATTGCACATTTTTGGCATTCTGATGCCTTCCTTTGTAGTATTTGATACTTAGAGAGATCACTTGTGCCTGATCTCTGGTGTGACAACGTCTGTGTTCTCCAGACGCATATGAAATTGCATGTTATATCAAGGGAAGAAGCTATCAAGGTCTAGTATTTACTTTTATTTAGCTCATCTTGAAGTCTTCACTCTACGATTTATAGTGCACTTACTAAGAGTTTTACCTGCCTAAAGAACTCTAGGTTCAGTAGTGCTAATATAATAAAAGCCTTAGTGTGTCTGTCTGTCTGTCTGTCCCTAACACTTTATTTGCATTCTGATTGGTTGTCTCAGCAGCCAATCACAATGGTCACTGAAGCAACCAATCAAAGTGCTCTGATCAGACAGACACACATAGCGGAGCGCCGCCAAGATGCCAGGGACCGAGGGGCCAGAGTGGGAGAGAATATCTCCCCCCCTGCTCCTTGGAGGCAATGGCAGTGCACGGTGCTGGCGGCACAGTGCTGGCCTTGGCCCCCCCACTCCAGCCTCGCTGCCACATCCAAGGCAGATCGGCAGCACCACGGGCTGCTGGATAGCAGCGCCCTTCCCCCCCCATCACGATGGGCAATTTGCTAGTCTGTAATAAGGGCAGAGGGCATCTCTCTTAATTCATTTAAAACCTTTGAATAAACAAGACCCAAAACACCAGACTTGCATGTGAGCTCCTAAGTGATTACTTCAAGATATTAATGCTCTTAAGTTCTATTGAAGTTGGTGGGACTTGCAGCACCTGGCAGGTGACTTGCCACATTGTAGGACAATGCCAGGGTTAGGCAATATCTTGAGAACCGCACACGCAGCTGGTCATTTAATTCTTCAGCTTGGAGTCATGGTTACTAACCCCACTAATTAAGCAAAGGCATGAAAATTATTAAGCAAAGGCATGAATTCTATTAACTCAACATTTAATCATAGACAATATATGTGTGTAGACCAGAATCTAATAAATGGAGTCCTTCCTCCTTCTCCTCTGTTTCTCTCCATTCCACATAATTGCCAGGTAATAATTGATCCTGCAAACACTGAAGCGCTTGAGTATTTTGCTGTAAATAGGTATCTGTGAAGATACTTGCATGACTTACATTCCTCTTGTGCTCAGCTCCTTCCTGGAAGGGCCCTAAATGTGCCACCAGGAAACTGTCAAGCGTGGCCAAGCCTTTCAATCACAAAAAGGCATCAGACATGCCTATTGCAAAACTGTTAAGTGCTAGGAGAACTTATGCATTTCCATACCTTTCACAAGCAGCTTGGAAAGATTTCATGTACTAATTCTTGAGCGTGTTATAATTTCTCTTCTCCCCATCCTCAGATCTTGAGATGAAGAGAATAGGATTGTTATGACTCTGAAGCGTGCTCATCAAATTAATCTGTAAAATCTCCTCCTAGTTCTCTTTATAATACTTCAGTAAGAACTACATCCATTGCTGATGCTGATGTAATATCACTAGCAGCTAATGATGAACTAAATGGTCTGCCAGGACTGCTGAAGTGGTGTATTTCTCTCTTGTGTATATATACATTTTGCTACTGAGACATTGCTCCAAAATATGTTTGTATTGCTTTTTCTGCTTCTCTCTTAAATTTGTGTCTCATTACAAACTAATTGTGGCAAGTGTTCGTTTTTTTCTATGTGCATATGCATCTGGCACAGTTGAGCTCACTAGGGTCTCCTTTAATAGAAGTGCTAATAATAAATGATTTTACTAGTACACTCAAAGAAAGTAGTCTGGATACCCACATGGACTTCTG